TAAGAGTTTGAGACCAGCCTGGACTGTAGAGTGAGCTGCTGTCTTTTTAAAAAAAAAAAAAAAAGTTAAATTTAGTCAAATGCCATTGTTCCTACAAAGGAGTTTGCCTGCTTAGCTGAGGAGTTTTAACAACAGAATCTGGGTCAGCAGTATCCGCTGAAGATGTGGGAGTTGAGTTTCTGCTAAAGCTGCTCATTAATAATACTGATAGCTAGAGGCTGCCTGTTCTGAATGAGGCTCCTGAGAGCTGCTTCAGGCTGTGCTGCCATTCCCTTCTGGAAAGAAGTAGCCAAATAACCACACTTGAATGTGTCTTCTCCAGAAGGTGTGAGGAAAATGTACCCTTTTACCCACTTCTCTGATTTACAACTTATCAGCATACATACAGTAGAAACACATGGATACCTGTGTTTATGACATTTTGATTCATAATTGCCATAATAGGTGATCATTGACAACAGATGAATAAAGTTTGACACAAACATATACACACTGTAGAATTATTCAGCCATGAAGAACAATGAAATTATGTTTTCAGGAAATGGGTGGAACTGGAAATCATCATGTAAATAAAATAAAGTAAGTAAATAAATCAGGCTCCACAAATTATCACATACTTTCTCTAGCATATTTGGACTCTAGGGAAGATACATAAACAAGAAAGTAATAAAAGAGGTATTTGAGAAGAGAAAGGTACAAGAGGTGATAGGATGAATGAATGTGACCAAAGTATGTTGGGAATATACAAAATAATGTCACAATAAAACTATTGTTTTTGTACCAAAGGTGATCAACATGATTTGTTTACAGGGAGATGCAGATCTAAACAACAAAGTTAGGGGAGAAAAAAGAAAAAAAATTTATGTGTGTGTGTGTGTGTGTGTGTGTGTGTGTGTGTGTGTGTGTTTTGTTTGTGCATACATGAGTTCCTTTTTCTCACAGTGTTTCCATGCCAGAGGTTTTTGATTCCCCTGGAACCGTAGTTACAGGTACTTGCAGCCACTCCATGTGGGTGCTGGGAACAGATAATCAGGTCTGCAAGAGCAGTATGCACTCTTAACCACTGAGCCATCTCTCCAGCCCCCCCCCCCCCCCCCCCCCGGGGGGGGGGGGGGACGACGACGACACATCTTTAAAGCAAAAAAACCTCACAGCCAGAGGGCTGGAGAGATGGCTCAGAGGTTAAGAGCACTGACTCTTCTTCCAGAGGTCCTGAGTTCAATTCTCAGCAGCCACATGATGGTTTACAAGTACCTGTAATGAAATCTGGTGCCCTCTTCCGGCCTGCAGGGATGCAGGCAGAACACTATATGCATAATAAATAAATTTTAAAAAAAGAACAACAAAAAAAACCCACCCCTCACAGCCAGATGTAGTATAGAACTAAAATAAGATGGGCACTGATAAAGACATGGAAAAAATAAAACCAATTATCTATTGCTGTTGGAATTACACAGCTCCTCAGAATGTTCCACATGAAATTGTTACATAACCTTGCAATTCTGCTTACAGGCTCATATCTTAAGAATGTAGTTTTATGTGTTCAGGAGGTACTACAGGAGCTAAAAAGTAGGACCAACCAACCGTAAGCTAAAGAGTGCATGAAAATGGGAGGTGGTTACACAATGGAGTATCATGTGGCTGTATGATTTGGAAAGAAAAGAAATTCTGAGTTACGATACAGCATAACAGAACTTTGAAATCATTACTGTAAACTAAAGAGGCCAGTTACAAAAGGCCATATATCTATTACCATTTATATCAAATATCTGATATAAGTAAGTCCATAGAAACAAAAAATTGATGTCAGGGCTCAAGGTAATGGAGGGTTAAAGAATTTTTCTTTGAGAATGAAGAAAATGTTCCAAAATAAGATCTAGTACATTTCTGTCAACATACCAATCCCCCTCAATCCTGCGTTTAAAAAGGATGAATTTCACTGATGTGAATTATACTTCAATAAAGATATTATTTAAACAATGGAGATTGGCAAGATGGCTCAGCAGGTAAAGGCATTGGTCGCCAAGCTTGATTGGAGTTCAATATCCAGGACCCACGTGTAGAGAACAGACTCTTGCAAGTTGTCATCTAGCCTCCACACATTCTCACATTCTCTCTCTCACTCAGATGTGCACAAATAAATATTTAAATAAGCAAAAGGAAACCATCAATCATTCCCAGATTGCCTGTGCCATTTTACATCCCCCTCTCCTCTCACCCGGTTTCTCTTTGTAGCCTTTGGCTGTTCTGGAACACTCTTTGTAGACCAGGCTGTCCTAGAACACAGAGATCCCCTGGCCTCTGTCCCTCAAGTGCTGGGATTAAAGGTGTGCCCCATCACCACCTGGTCCATTTATATTTTTAACAGAAAATTTCCAGGTTTCCCAAATCATTAAAATCTTCTGGTATTGTCAGACTTAGTGATCACAGCTTTTAATTTTTAGATATTTATTTATTTATTGAGATAAGGTCTCACTATGTAATCCTGGCTGGCCTGGAATTTGATATTTAGATCAGGCTGGCCTTGAACTCACACAGATCTGCCTGCCTCTGCCTCCTGAATGCTGGGATTAAGTGTGAGTGTTTGTATGAGAGTGCAGATGCCCATAGAGTCTCAAGGTATCAGATATCCCAGAGTTGGAACTACAGGTGGTTGTAAGTCACCCAGCATGGGTGGTAGGAACCAAACTTGTATCTTCTTCAAGAACAGCAAGTACTCTTAACCACTGAGTCCTATCTTCAGCCTTCCCTCTCCATCTTCTTCCCAGTGCTTTGGTATTAAACTCAGGGCCTTGTACCATTCACTTTACCATTCATTCACTTATACCCTAGCTGATTGTATAAAGACTTTTAAAAATATTTAATATTGTGGCTCCTCATTAGCATTTTAATTTGTATTTCCCTAGTGACTAATAATAATGAACTGCTTTCCTATGTGTAATATCCATTGTATATATTTTATTGAAATGTCTATTATTAAATTGACTTTTAATTTAACTATAATTAATTATAACCTTTTCTGCGTGTAAGCCCTTTAATAAAGGTTTATGATCTTCTAAATCGCGTGCGTGCGTGCGTGTTGGCAGTCTCACACAGCAGTCTGACCTTCCCGATCCTCCTGCCTGTACCTCTTGTGTGCTGCTCTGCTTTGCTCATCAGTTTGAAATTTTGATGTCTAATTTGCACGTTTTTTTCTCTGTATAGTGCTTTTTTTTTGATGCAAAAAACAACGTGTTTTTACATGTCTTTACATAACCTAAAGACCACAGAGATTTCTCCTGTAGCATTTTACAAGTTTTTAAGATTATAATTCTTCTTTAGGTCTTTGATGTATCTGGGGTTAACTTGTAGATGGTGCAAATGAAGTATCCAGTTACTTCTGTGTTACTTGCTGAAAAACTGTCAGGGGCTATAGAGATGAATGAGTAAAGGTTGTTCTTGCAGAGGTCCTGGGTTTGGTTCCAGGATCCATATGTTGTCTCATAACTGAAGTTCCAAAGACCTGATGCCCTCTTTTGACCAGGCACATGCATACTCACAGGCAAAAACCACTCATACACATTAAGAAAATTTAACAAAGAAAAAAACAGCCACATGGGAATGGTGGCCACACTTGTGATTATAGCCATATGGGAATGGTGGCCACACTTGTGATTACAGCTACATGGGATATGGTGGCCACACTTGGGACTACAGCCTTCAGGAAACAATTCCAAGGTCAAAGTTGTCTACATCTAGGACCTACAATCCACCCAGCCAGGGCCACATAGTGAAACTCTGTTTCAGTTCCCTCCTTAAACTCTTTACTTATGTTGGCATCTTTGATGAAACCCAAAGATCCCCCTCATCCTTTTTGTTTTTTAAATTAAAATCCCTGGAGACAGGGTCTCACTATGTAGTTCTGACTCTACTGGAACTTGCTATGTAGATCAGGCTGTTCTCAAACTCACCAGGATCCACCTGCTTCTGCCTCCCAAGTGCTGGGATAAGCCAATTGACCTTTTTTTTTTGGGGGGGGGGGAGTGGTTTCGAGACAGGGTTTCTCTCTCTAGTTTTGGAGCCTGTCTGGGATCTCACACGCTGTAGACCAGGCTGGCCTGGAACTCACAGAGATCTGCCTGGTGCCAATTGACTCTTAACAGTTTTTTTTTTGTTTTGTCTTTTTTTTTTTCCTTTGGAGTTCTTTTCTCTGTAACAGCACTTGAGTACTTGCTTTATGCCAGGCACAGAGTTGGAGCTTTAAGTATGTGGTCAGTACCAAAGGGAGCCTGTGTGCTTACACTGACTTGGCAAATCAGGTACTATAAGCCCTGGAACTTATTTTTTCTTCAAAATTGTTTTGGGTATACTTTTTTATTTTTAACTTGTATAGATTATGGAATAGATAGCTTTTTAAAACATCCGCTATTTTTAAATTTTATTTGCTTTAAATCTAAACTTAATTTTAGCCCGAAAGCCAGAATTCAAGAATTGCCCTGTATCTATGGGTTAATTTGAGAATTGCCTTTATTTGTTTGTTTAAATTTCTTTTGTGTATGTGTGTCTGGGAGCAAGTGCATGGTATACATGTGGAAGTCAGTCGTCAGCCTGCAGGAGTTGGTCATGAACTTAGGTCATCAGGCTTGCTAGCAGGTATCTTTACAACTCAGCTATCTTGCTTGTCCAAGAATTACCTTAATACTGAATCTTTTCTTCTTGACTGTGGAGTACCTTTCCATTTCCTTCTAGCTTTAAAAAACATTTTTTTCTCCTTTCTGGGCTTAGTAGCCCACACCTCTAATCTTAGTACTCTGGAAACAGATGTAGGCAGATAGTTTGAGGCCAGCTAGGGCTACATAGTGAGAAACCTGTCTCAAAAACACACACAAAAAAAACCCCTTTTCCCCCTGAAAGATGTTTATTAGATGTGACTGTGTTATATTGTTCTATCTGTAACTTGTAAATTCTAATAGATTGGAAATAGTAGTATCTTGTAATTTATTTTGTGTTTGTATCTTAAGGGTCTCCCACTGACTTCCTTGAAGAGAAAATAGCCTACCAGGAATATCAGAACAACCAGAACTGGCCAGAAGAGGCAAGCTTTTGTTTCCAGCCTCAGGGAGTGTTAGGTACTAACCAGACTGGTAAGTGCAGGCTGTGTGTGACTACTGAATGTGAGCTGTGAGGTAATAGGTGACAAGGCTGTAGCTCCCACTAAGATAAAGCATTTGGGCTTCAAAAAAGCTCAGTAAGGCATGGCCAAAGTATAATTATTTTCTGTAGACATTCACTTGAACCTTTATCTTTATCCTCCTTTTTCTTTCTGTGTTTGAAATAGGGTCTCATACTGTAGTCCACAGTAACAATTCTCCCACCTGTCAGCCTTTCAAAATGTTAGGATTACAGGGGTAGGTCAGCCACATCCAGCTTTATTTATCCTTTCTTCAGAAACACTTAATTCCCTGTAGTGTTTTTTTTTTTTGTATAGTCTTTGCAAAACCAGTTACTAATAAATTGTCTCACATTCATGTACATTAAAAGCTAAAGGTTCAGGAATCTGTTAGCACCCTAATTCTTTTCACAGAAATTATTTCAGTAATAGCAGTGCTTATTTTATGCCAGAGAACTGACTCTCAAAAGTTTAATTCTAGTCCCAAGATTTGATTTTTTTTTTCCCCCCAGACAGGGTTTCTTCATGGAGTTTTGGTGCCTGTCCTGGATCTCGCTCTGTAGACCAGGCTGGCCTCAAACTCAAAGAGATCTGCCTGTCTCTGCCTCCCAAGGGTTGGAATTAAAGGTGTGCCACTGCTGTCCGAACCAAGATTTGATTTTTAAAGATAGATAGCATCTCACTATGTAAGGGCTGGCTGGCCTAGAACTGGGGTTAAAGCCTTCATTCACCATCATACTGATCTCAGCAAACATTTGAAATGCAGTATTCTTCACAGTGCCCACAAGAGATACCTGCTCTTGTTCTATGGATAACCTTCTAGCTGAGTTAGTTTGGTTTGGTTTTTTGGGGACAGGATCTCATTTTGTAGCTGATTTTGGCTTTGAACTTGAGAGTGTTTGGGATTACAGGCATGTATCTTCATGCCCACTATACATTCTATTGTTGTTGCTTGTTTTCACTCTTTTGGGGGGCCTGCCACCTAGCTCCCAAACAAAATCATATAGGGAGGCTTATTTTTAATTTGGAATACCCGGCCTTAGCTTGGCTTAGTTTCTAGCCAGCTTTCTTTAACTTAAATTATCCCATCTACCTTTTGCCTCTGGGCTTTTCCCGTTCTCTTCTTGCTTCTGTAAATTGTACTCTTATTCCATGGCTTGCTGTGTAGCTAGGTGACTGGCCCCTGGAGTCTTCCTTCTTCTCTGGCTCCTAGCCCTCTCCTCCCAGATATCTCCCTCTATATATTCTTTCTGCCTGCCAGCCTCATCTATCCTTTCTCCTGCCTTGTTATTGACCATTCATTCAGTTCTAGACCATCAGGTGTGTTAGACAAGCACAGTAACACAGCTTCACAGAGTTAAACAAATACAACATAAACAAAAGTAACACACCTTAAAATAATATTCTACAACATTTTATTATTTGGTTTTTAATTTTTATGTGTTTGTGTATGTGTGTTTGTGTCTCCAGCACTGAATTTATAAGCATGTACCACCATACCAGTGTTCATTTTTTGGGGTGTTGAGGATCTAACTTAGGCATTCATGTTTTTATGCTGTGGAGTATTGAGTGTTCGTTCATGAGGTTTTGTATTTGCTGGCTCTCCTAGATAATCAAATTTTAAGAGAACAATGGATTATATTTTGTTATACCAAATGAATTAGTGAGTATTTATTGCTTCTTTGTCATGTAGTCATGTTATTTTATTTAATTTACTATTGGCAATACAAATGTAGCAAATCAATGTTAATAGGAACTAAGAGATAATAATCTTTCTAATTGCATTCACTGTATGATTCTGTTTTTATCCTAGATCCGTTTCAGGTGCACCATGATGATGGCCTGGCAGATCTGCTCTTTGTCTCCAGTGAACCCACAAAAGCTTCAGCATTTATGGAGCAAAGTGATCCTCTGGAAGACAGTTATGGTATGGCTTCAGCCAGATCCATTATCTACCACTTATTCATTGTACAAAGATCCATACAATAAATGACAAATGATTAAGGGAAAAATAAAATAAAAATTTTGAGGGACGTTCTACATAAGAAATCAGCTTAGGCTGGCTTTATCTATGTAAAGGGCATAATTAAACTCCTGATTCTCTCTTCTCCACACCTGGACTAATGTGACATTATGAAAAATCATTGTGTGTGTATGTATGTATGTATGTATGTATGTATGTATGTATGTATGTTATGGCTCCAGTAATCACACACACACCATATTACATAGCACCTTGGACTGAAACTGAAAGGGTAAGGATTTTTAGGATCTCCAGGGAGTGGCAAATTAGAGAATTCACATTTGGGCTGTTTACAAGACCTTGAATCCTATAATGTATGGTCAGATTCTTTGTCCGCATTTTGCCTTTCATGGTCTAGAAAAAATTACTTCCTAAATTTCCGTTTTTTAATATTTATTATTATTTGAGATAGTATCTCATGTATCCTAGGTTGTCCTCAAATTTGTTACGTAGCAAAGAATTATCTCTCCTACTCTTCCTTCCTCCATTACCAAGTACTGAGATGATATATGGAACCCACTGGGACCTGGCTATAAAGCATTGGATCACAGCAGCTCTTGATGCTTGCTGGGCAAGTAATCCAGCTGAGCCACAGACTTCCCCACTGATCTTTTAAATATATACAATGGAGCCAGCATTTGTTCCTAGTTTAGAGATGTTAAAAATATAGCATGGTGTCGGGTACATTGTAAACAACCCTCATCTTGTCTGTTGGCATTTTGATGTTTTACTGCTCTGAGTGCCTTCTGACTACTTTCTCTTTTGTCCCCCTCCTTTGAAGTCTATGATTCTCCATTTATTTTTAGACAAAGTCTTACTGTGTTGCATGGAGTGGGCTCACACTCATGATCCTGCACCCTTGATGGCAGCTAGGATTCCACCTGTGTGTCCCCATGCTCTTGTCTTAGAACAGTATGCCTTAGATTCTTTTGTGTCCTCTTTGGTTTCTTCCCATTTAAATCCCTTCACATATAGATCACCCTATTAGTCTTCTACTCAGTCTTTCTGCCTAGCCCAATCTAAATAGCCCACTGTACCGATCATCCTGAATCCCTGAATAGTTGTCTTTTTTAAAAGACATTTTTTATGCAATTTTAAATTTCTTTGATTTTTTTTTTTCAGGTCATTTCCCCATGGTTTGAATAGTCCTGTTTGTCCTGTAGGATACACCAGACCTACTTGAATAAGATTGATCTCATAATTCAGCAGCTTCTTGTCTTGTTGATGTCTTTGTGCTTTCTTTGCTAATAGGACTGTTGGCTTTTTGAGACAGGGTTTCTCTGTGTAACAGCCCTGGCTGTCCTGGAACTCGATTTGTAGACCAGGCTGGCCTCAGACTCACAGAGATTCATCTGCCTCTGCCTCTCAAGTGCTGGAATTAAATGTGTGTGCTACCACTGCCTGGCTTCTAAGAGGGCTCTTGATTTTAATATTGACTGCCCTCTTCTGCTCCTGCTTCTCTGAAACCTTCTGTGATAATCTAATCCTCAGAGTTCTTGTTGTATTCCTATAGTAATTAGTCCATACCGTACTGTTGTTTGATGTGCAATCATCTTTCTGAATATGATGCTGTATGCCTGTAGCACCAGCTACCGAGAAGGCTTTACAGGAGCATCACCTGAGCTCAGGAGTTTAAGGCTAAGAGTGAAGGTCTGTTTCCTAAAAAATAAAAAGAAAGAAAGGAAGGAAGGAAGGAAGGAAGGAAGGAAGGAAGGAAGGAAGGAAGAAAGAAAAAGAATTTAATAGCTGGTAATAGCTGGAACCATCTGATAGTAAATCTCATATTATGTCTGCCATAGAAGAGCATAATTCTTGTATTTGTCAACTTGCTAATAATTTATTAAGCATTTTCATAAAGGCAGATTCTAATCTTGTTTTATGTTTGTTTGTTTTTTGGTTTTTCAAGACAGGGTTTCTCTGGGTGGCCCTCTGGGTAGCCCTGGCTGTTCTGAAACTTGCTCTGTAGACCAGGCTGGCCTTGAACTTGCTGCCTCCCAAGTGCTGGGATTAAAGGCATGCACAAACCACTTCCTGGCTCTAATATTGCTTTATACGTGAAGGAAGGCTCACAATAATTTGCTATCTACTATATTCCATTGAAGTTGGTATTGGTAGTCTTCAGTCTTCAGTATTTTAAATCTCTGTGACATCAGTAGGAAGTAATAAAAATGTGTCCCTGGTGCTACTAGGATATAGTGTTTCTCTTTGCCTGGTAACAGTTTATCTCAAACCTGGGCAGTGAGGTGTCTTAGGTATTAAGAGCACTTGCTGTTTTGTGATGGACCAGTTTGATACAGAAACCACATGGGGAGGCTCGTAACTATAGCACCAACTAAGTAAATCTTTAAAAACCAACAATTAACACAAAACTGAAGAATGCCAGCTGACCTTCCTGTAAAACCTCTACTCTTATTGGTCCTTGAGTTTGTGTGGTCACTGATTTAAGCTATCAAATGCCTTTCCCCCTCCATTGATGACCACATTTAAAAACTGTGTTTCATTATTAGGTATGCTTCCCAGTGACTCATTTGCTCCCATGGCTGTTGCATCTCAGGAGTGGTCTGTGGAAGCCTCAGACTCTCCATACTCAGAATCCGTGGTTTCTCCAGAAGGTAGTATAGAAACCCTACAGCCGGCAGCAGGTAAATCATTGAAAGCTACTTTGTCAGGTATTGGTTATGGCACCAGTAATCACAAAGCCCCAACTTTTTTCAGCAGTTTATAGCAGATACAGACAAATTTGTTTTTTGTCTTTCTTTTTGAGACTGAGTCTCAATATAGATCCTGTGTAGATTAGGCTGGCCTGGAACTTTGACTGTGATTGATTACATAACTGGTCTGTTGTTGTTGTTGTTGTCGTTTTCGAGACAGGGTTTCTCTGTGTAGCTTTGGAGCCTGTCCTGGAACTCACTCTGTAGCCCAGACTGGCCTCGAACTCACAGAGATCCACCTGCCTCTGCTTCCTGAGTGCTGGGATTAAAGGCATAACTGTTCTTTTATTTAAACATGTATTTTCTCTCTTGGTTATGTCTTCTCCACATCTTGTTTTCTTAGCACATTTTATGGCAGCCCCCAAACAGAGATAATGACTTGTCTTTTTAGCATTGTTTCATTCTTTTAAATGTTGAGTTGTCAAAGACAGACATCATACATTAACTCTGCAGCTTCTTAATTTGTATAAATTTGATATTTATAAAATCCAAGTATTTTGTGTTTCCTAAGAAAGTAATTTTCATAACTTTAAAACTTCTGGGCGTGACCGTTTGGTCTTGTTTATTTGTAAGCACACCATATGTGTGCCTGGTGCCCACAGAGGCCAGAAATGGGCATCAAATCCCTTGGAACTGGAGTTACAGATGCTTGTGAGCCACTATGTGGGTGCTGGGAATAAAACTTGAGTTTTCAGGAAAAACAGTCTTTGCTCTTAACTGCTGACCCATCTCTCCAGCCCAGAAAGTAAATTTTGGGGAAGGGGAGTGGTGGTTGAGACAGGGTTTCTCTGTGTAGCCAGAAAGTAATTTTTAAATTCAGGGTTATCAGTAGTTAATGCTAGGTCCTAAATTTAATACAAAATAAAAAAAAGATTTTTTTTTTGGTTTATTTATTTTTATTTTATGTGCTTTGATATTTTGCCTGCATGTATGTTTGTGTGAGGTTGTTATATCCCCTGGAATTTGAGTTGCAGACAGTTGTGAGCTGCCATGTGGGTGCTGGGAATTGAAACCAGGTCCTCTGAAAGAGCAGCCAGTGCTCTTAATCTCTGACCCATCTCTCTACTCCTGCTACATCCTCATTTTTTAAACTTAATTTCCTTAGAGCGATCCAAGGAAATAGAAGTGGAATCAGTAAAAGAGCAGCTGCCAAATAAAGCATTGGAAATGATGGCCGAAGAGAAGACTGCTGATGTGGTGCCATCTAGAAAAACAGAGCTATCTTCATCCACAGACATGACACCAGGCACAGGACCCGAAGTGGCATTTGCTAAAGATACAGAAGAGACCAGGAAACCAGATGTGATGCTGTCAGAGGTCATGCAGCCATCCAGTGAATCCGATCTGTTCCTGGCTGAGGACATGGAAGGACGTGTAGGAACAGAGGTGGCCCCTGTTAAGGATGTCATATTGCCGACAGAAGATGTATCTTTGACCAAGGATATGGCACCTCCTACAGAAACTGAAATGGTCCCAGGCAAGGATGTGACACTGCCCAAAGAAACAGAGCTCACGTTTGCAGTAAAAATGGACTTGGTACCACCTGAGGATATGGTGCTTCCCAAAGAAACAGAGGTAGCCCCGGTCAGTGTCATGGTTTCCTCCTCAGCAATAGAAGCGGCACTGGCAAAGGATGCTGAGTCCTCTGCAGAAATACCTTCAGCTGAGGAGATGGACTTGTCCTCAGAAACAGAGGTGGGCTTGGCAAGGGACTTGGCACTGCCCTCAAACACCCTGATGATCTTGACAAAGGATGTAACGTTGCCCTTAGAAACAGAGGGATCTCTGGCCGAGAGCGTGACTCCATCTCTGGAAAGTGAAATGACCCTGGATAAGGATATGGCTCCACCCCCTGAAGCAAAATTGGACATGGTCAGAGATATGACTCCACTCCCAGAATCAGAAGTGTCTCTGGGCAAGGAAGTGGTTATACTTTCAGAAACAAAGGCGACTAAGAGCAACAATTCGACCCCTCTTTCAGAAAAAGAGGTGGCCTCAATCAAGGACATTTCTCTGCCTCCAGAAACAGAGGCTCCCCTGGCTGAGGATGCCGTTCTGCTCTTAGGAACAGGGTTGACTCTGGACAGCAACGTGACTCCAGCCAAGGATGTTGCACTACTCTCGGAAACAGAAGTAGCAGCAGCTCAAATTAAAGACAAGGAAAATGCACAGACCCAAGAACTAAGTAAAGACTCCCAGTTAGAATCTGTCCAGTACAAGGGGCAGTCAGCAGTACCTTCTTGCATGATTCTACCAGGTATGGGCTCCTGCTTTTTCTCAGTATTCTCTCTACTAAGGTATAAACTAAGGGACAAATGTCATGCCTGGTAAAATGCAGCTTTACTGCTTTACAGGTCCACTCACATGCCTCCTAATCAGTGTTCTCACCCTCTTCCTTTGATGACTAGTCCCATTCTGTGCTCATCCTTGCTTTACTTCCAGACAAATGAGGCAGTAAGCTAAGATCCACAAACCACCATTACCTACCTCATCTCCATAGTGATTTGTATCTATATGCACTACCTCTGCCTTTCTACTGTTTTTATGGGTAAACTGTCTGTCTTCTCTGAAGTAAAGCCAACCTCTCCTCACTTGACAACAAGTCCCATCTGCTTAAGTATCATCATTCTTGTTGTTTTTCTTTATAACTGTTGTTGCCTTTTAAGCCTCGGCTGTCCTAATCAGCAACTGCAACTCTGCTGCTGCAGCAGTTTGGCTGCAAAAGCTGCAGCCTGAGGAGATTCTGTTCCTTCAGGCACTGACTCTTTGAAAGCTACTAAGGGAACTTACCTAAATTTCTGTCTCTATCTAAATTTCTGTCCCTCTAAAGAACTCAAGATTCAAAGGTAGAGGTGGAATTCTGCTCCTCAGAGAGGCTGAACAGCAAGTTGCTCACCTCCTCTTCTTGCTCCTGACTCCCAAAAAGCCCCTCCACCTTCTCCCAGCCCCCACTTAAAAGCCCTTCTCCCCCCAGTTCCTCCATACCACTTCCTGTCAGCTAGTTGCTGTCGCAGCCTCTTGACCACAGGTGAATTTTATTTAATCAAACAAATGTAACACATCTTTGCATCACTAAACAAATGTTCCAGAGCATAAATAAAAGTAACGCACCTTAAAATAATTAATTAAATCTCCTTTCCATTGGATCATTCTCTCTGGCTTTCAAAAACAATTCTGTTTGTTTGGGGTTTTTTTTGTTTGTTTATTTTATTTACAAAGACAAAAATAGTGCTGATGTCTCATCGTGTGAAGGCACCAGCCATCAAGCCTGATGACCTAAGTTTAATTACTGGAACCTACATGGTGAATGGAGAGAACCAACTGAAGTGTTCTCTGACCTCCCAATATATGCTGTGACATGCGTGCTCCTCCACATAAGATAAATAAAAAAACAATCGATCATTTAGTTATTTAATTAATCATTTGTTTATTATTTATTTATTGTTTATTTATTTTTTTGAGACAGGATTTCTCTATGTAGTTTTGGTGCTTGTCCTGGATCTCCCTCTATAGACCAGGCTGGCCTCGAACTCACAGAGATCCTCCTTGCTCTGTCTCCTGAGTGCTGGGATTAAAGACATTCGCCACCACCAACAGACAAAAATTAATTTTAAAAAAGGAAAAAAACAGGGACCCCTCTTGATGATGCCTTCCAATGCCCCTCTGGTTTTCTGTTTAGTGTAGGACATTAATGTAAACACATTCTCATCTCCATTTTATGGCAGATGAAAAAATAGTTGAAATACTGTTTCTCTGAAACTTACATGATTTTTACTATTACCTTTAGAACCAGTCAAAGCTGCAGACCAAAAGTCTAACTTGCCAGTAGATGAAGGTACTCTGTTAGAGACCTTAAAGCAGAAGGAAACCTCTGGCAGTCAGTCTTCTGAACTTTCTTCAGGTAAGTTGAGAATCCTGCAAATAGTTCACTTATAAGTGGTGGGATGGTGATGGACATTTTTTGTTCCTGTCTTGTGTGGTGGTAATTATGAGTACAGTTTATGAAGTCAGTTTTCTTCAATACATTTCATTTCTTTAGTGTCACTTGAGGACACTAAATTTTGATCAAGTTGACTGTTCACTGTTCTGTCAGTTCCTGAACTTGTTATTTCAGTCTTCTCAATGTACTCTGAACTACTTTAATAAGGTAAAGATTTTTAAAAATATATAAATATATCTGAAAAAAACAATTCTTGACCTGAGGTGATGGTCTTTGATTACCCCAGCTAAGGATGAGAAAAGTTTTGGGAAAAACTTTTTTATGAGCGAATGAATGAGTGAATGCTGTGACAATAGACTACTTAAATGAGTCACTAAATAAACTTTCTTTTTAGAAATGATAACAAGGAATTTGTTGTTTAGAATTTTAGCTAAGTTCATGTATTACAGGTACCCCTCCCTCACAAGGTAAACAAGTTTGCAGACCCAGTGACCGCAGGTCAGCCCGGGCCAGGCCTGCCAGGGTCCCTCCTGAGCTGCTGGAAGGTTCTCCTTCATGGAAGACTCTTGATCCCAGACTGGGCCCCTACCCTTTTTCTGAGTTGGGTTTGGTCTCTGGTTCATCTTCCTGTGGTGAGCATGGGAACCAAAGGAAAAATATTCATACCGAATTGCTAGTACCCGAGAGAGATCATGTCAGGGAGGCCAGGGATATAGAAATCATGCCAATGATAATGAGGAAAAAGAAGAAGAAACCAAAGCAAAAGAGATATCCTCAGTCCCGAGCTGGGGGACCTTGGGACGACAATGCAGATGGACCCAAAGACCATCCTGTTTCCCCTGGGGCCTTGAAGTCAGGTGTTGGCCCCAGCCAGCCTACTACTGTGGGCACAGAATATGGACTTGAATCCAGAGAAGTCTTGAAGTCTGACTGTGCCAAGAGTCACAGCATTACTTCATGTCCAGTACAACCTCCAGAGACTGTTGTAAATGCTCAGCTCAAGCTGAGAGTAGAGGAAGATCACAGAGGTAACCGCTCAGTGCCAGAGAACCAAGATGAGAACTTGCTACAACAGGAGCAACACAGATCCTCAGCTCCTTCACACCTGAAGCCTTTAGTGGATGCAAGCATGGCAGTGGGCCCTTCCCGTTTGGAAGGATCCCCGATAGACAGTGCTGCACACAAAGCGACAACTCTGCTTGGGGCTTGTTCCCCCATATTCGGCCAAGAGATTATGAGTAGAGTTTCGAAACCTACAACAGAAAAAGTGCTATCAAATTTGCCCCTCACTTCAACGGCAAACAGTCCATTAGAAGACCGTCTGAAGGGAGGCAGTGGTGAGGGTAAAATGACTACACTGCAGATGTTTCCTGACGGAGTTAAAGATGCTAAAGGTGTTAAAGAAAGAAATCCAGAAACATGCCCCAAGCCGAGAGACGGAACCAGCCTATTCGCTTCTGAGGAGCCGAAAGACCAAGAGTTAATGCAGGCTCCTGGGCTGGAGAGCAAAAGCAGAAAGGGAAGGGGTCCTGGGAAAGTCAGAGCAGGCTCCGGGAAGTTAGGAACCAAATCTGAGGTGCCACTCCTTCTGAACAGTGAGAAGGAGGAGAGAGCTGTTCCTATGCCAAGTGAGTCAGTCCCTGAACTTGGAATAGTGAGTATTGAGACTCCGAGAAGAGGGCTAGGCTTGGATTCTTCAAAGCAACCAGAGGCTATTACTGATCTCACTGAGGCAGTGGTGAGGGTGGCCAGGGACATAGCTGATGCTGGTGTGGGAAGCACCATACCATTGATTCCTTTGGAAACTGGGTCAAGCTGTACTCAGACTTCGTATGCTAGGACAGAAAGAAGTGCTGAGGTTAAAAATACGGGCATCAGTAACCAGAGCAAGGAAGGGAAGTGCCTTTGGATGGATCATGAGTCAACTCCCTGGATTTCTGAAAAGACTAAAAAGAGAGTCAATGAAGGCAGAAACAAAAAGTTTAAAAATAATTATCCTGTACAGCCTAGCAAAATGGAGGGCAAGGAGGAAATCATCAGCCCACCTTGTGTAGAGAAGGAGAGTGATGATGGTAGTATAGCCCATAACAAGGGGGAATTAGGGCAGGCTTTCCCTAAAATACACGCTCCTCTGTTCTCACACACACCCACAGCAACAAACGTTGCTGACAAAAAGAGTAAGAATGTTGAGTCTACTTCTGTTGAACTTGGGGCTCTTGTGGGGAATAAAACAAACGCAGTCCAAGCTTCTACTGTTACTGCTGAACCAGCTGACAAGGTGACAAATGGGAGCTCCCAAGACCCAGTCTGGGGAGCAGAATTTGTTCCCTCAGTAGAACCTGAGGAAAACAAGACACGTGTAGCCAAGGGACACACTGCAGTGGCTGACAAACCTAATAAAAGGAGTAATGATGGGAAATGTAAAAAAGTTAAAAATAGTTTTCCTGAGAAGCACAGTTTGGAGATTAGGACAGATACAACAAAAATACATATTCCCATGGAAACCACAGGAGACTGCAGAGTTGAAGGAATGGGGTATATGGATGAAAATAGAAATATTACATTTACCTCTGGGAGAGAGCCGTCAGGGCTGAGTAAGTCAGCTCCTCCAGAGGTTATGGGATCAGCAGGCTGTGAAACACAGCCATGTCCTACTTCTCAGGTAGTAAAGGAAGATGATTCCTCACCTGACACTTGTAGAAAAAGTGGGCAAGAGAGATTCTTAGCCCAGAATCCCAAATTATTAGTACAAGATACTTATAGCAAAGATGGAGTCCCGGCTCAAGAAACGTCCAAGGCTCCCTCTGCTGCTGTGCCCTCTACTAGCACAGCAGTTCCTGCGACTACACAAGCCCAAGGAAAGATTAACAGTCGTGGAGATGGTTCTCTTAAGAATAAAGGTGAGCTTTCAGATTGCAGGAAGAATGAAGGAGGGATAATCCCTGAAAGGCATGAGGTAGGAGAATCTGAATTAGAGCAGCATGGGTCCTCTAAACATTCAGCAGAGCACGCCATTGAGCCAGCTAAAGGACACTTGCTTCCTGGTATGCCCTCAGAAAGCCAGAGCCTGCCAGAAGAGGCCAGAGTCCTCGGAACACATGCATATAATGGTGGTTTGCCAGCATCTTTAGTGAACGAGGAGAAGGGAACTGAGAAAGACTCTGCCCCAGTTCAAAACCCTGACCCTTTGAGAAGTAAATCACAGAAATTCAGTTTGTCTGAGGACCAAAATGAGAGAGAGAGAGATTCCAAGGGCTCAGATAGTTTGGATAAGAAGCTAGATACCATTCTTTTGCCTCCAGAAAATGAAAAGGATAAATTAAAAGAAACTAGTCTATCTTGTAAAGTCACAAAATTGGAATGTGTTGCCATGCTAACAACAGAACAGTCAGGTTTCTCATGTGGCAGTGTTGAGGGAGAAGGTAAATTAGTGGTGACTGCTTACAAGGACCCCCAAGTCCAACAGCTGAAAGGTAATGGGATCGAAGCTCCTCAGAAGATGCTGGCGATATCTGAACTGACGGTGCGGAGTGAAAGGAAGAAGGAAGACAAAAGCAGAGTGGCAGAGCCAGTGAAAGGCTACATGAGACCTACAAAGTCTCGAGGATTCACCCCACATTTGCCAAAGTCTACAAGCCAGGAAAGAGAAAAATCCAAGCTGCTCAAGTCCAGTGGTATGACCCTGCCATGGGGAAACGTGTGTGCTTTGGCTTTTTAATCAGCATCAAAAAGCAAACAGCCTGTGCCTGGGTTCCATTGCGACTCTAATCATCCTTGTAGATCATTGGTTTGTTGGCATGGAACCCTGTAACTGCTACTTCCATGTTTTTCTCAGCCAACGCATGCCCTGTATTCAGCTTGAGGGAGTGGCGACTTGGTTGCATGCCTTTTTAATGCAGCCCTGTATCTTGAGAGCATTGCAGCCCTCTTTTTCTTATGTTGTGTATCCTATGTGTAAAGTTTAGGCAAAGCAGCAATCCTTATTTGGTGTAAATATTTACACCAAATAAAATTATGAAACTTGGCTTTGTTGTTGTTCTTTTATTTTTAGTATGTAAATAGCTCGAGGTAGTGGGAGTAAATACCCAAATTGCTTTCAGTTCAAATGAAAATGGCATGCCTTTATACTAGTAGCCCTAGCTTTGGTTGGCACAGACTTCATGTTTCTAGTAGTGGGAAATGATCTCTCAAGGTACCAGGTCGGAGAGACTGGTTTGACAAGTTTTGTTGCTGTAACTACCATTGGTCAGTAGTTGCATATGGATTAGAGTTTGAGGCATAGCCTATGTTCACCAAACTGCTCATAAACTTCACTTATGATGATAAAATTCCTCCCAGTTTTGCCCTTTGGGACTTTAATAAGTAATTGGAGTGAGATTAAGATTAATTTTTTTTCTTAAGATTTAGAGATTAATCATGTGTGCTTGCATTGCCCCCCTCCCCCAGACACATTTAATCATGGGTTCCCTGAACCTAACTTTAAAAATAATTCCTTGCTTTTCAAGATTTTTGCAGCCAACAAACAGTGCTTTCTTAACCAGTTTGCACGATGCAGCTACTAACGAGAAACTTAAAAACAACAACAAAAACACCAGTTGCCTGTGCCAAGTAGCTAGTTAGACCTTTGCAAAAGTTTCATCGTGAGGTTGTGTTCTGCACGGTGTGGACCTGTCCTTGTGGTGAAAGTTTGTGCTGTGCATGAATAAGCACCTGGATTGGAATACTTGTGATGTAAGAAAGGATACACAGGCTATTTTCATCTTTCTACTTTTATATTTCTTCTCTTAGCTTCTCAGTTAACAAAGCAGAAAATGAAACAGAATAGCATGTAGAGAACATTCCAGAATTCTACCACATTCTTGAGTTTTATTTTCTAGGCCAATTTTTTATCATTAGTTTTATCAGTGATTAAAAGGTAACAAGTAAATTTTTGGAGAACCTAGCCAGGATTTCCAAAGAAA